TTGTACCGAAAAATTGTCGACATCTATTTTACACTGGTGGAGTTCGTACACGGAACTTGGAGCGCGTTAACGTAACCGAGAGCGCAAAAATCTACTACATTGTGTTTACACTGTTAGTACATGCCTGCGAGTGTGCAAGCAAGTAAGCACGTGGGTTCTTCGTCTCGTGCATAGACTACGATATATCCGGCGCCGATGGGAACGAATTTGTACGTTATTTTTTATGGCAAACCGCGTGAACTCGTGCATAAGCTTCGGTTCCTTTTTCTCTCTTTCTCTCTCGGTTATAAAAAGCGATAAAGTATGACAGGCCGGAATATCAATGAGCAATAATGATATATTATAAGTAGAGTCAATCTTTTTCTTCAATGAAAAAGTTGGCAGTGGTCGTCGTCGCCGCGTATAATCATCAAACGTATATGATACTTTGTTCCACGCTCGCTGGCTTGATTTATCATCTCTGCCTTCTTGACCCGGACGGCATAGCCCGAGAGAGAGCGAGACGGAACGAAAGAAAGAAAGATAGGGATTACTTAAGCTTGGCCAAGACGGACGAAGAAGGAGAAATACGAAGCGCTCGCGCGACAGAAAGAGATTGTTTTCGAAGCTTTTTATTTATTTTATTTTGTCGTTATCCAAGTGCTTGGCGCCCACTGCTAGGGTATCCTTGGATGCCAATCAAACGAGCCAATTGTCTCGTTGTGGCTGCACGTATAACACAGAAGCAGCTGCCGCAGCCGCACGAAAAATAACAAAAAAAAAGTCAGGGATGTATGTGTGTGTGTGTGTGCTCGGCGAAGACGAGGTGTCGTCGCGTCAGCGCGAGCATCCAAGTATACTTCGTTGCGCGGGTGAGCGATAATCTCTCTTTCGTACATAAATATATATCGCTCGAATTTTCAACGATATGCGCGCGGATCTTGAAAAGTTTCTCGAGACTTTACGTACATCACACTCGCACGCGAAGCTTCCATTCGATTTGCAAATCAGAGCCGGCGCGCGTGGACGTTCGACGAACGCGCAGAGAGCCAACGAGAGCGAAGGAAAAAAAAGGGAGAGACCGAGAGCATTGGCAGCATCTGCTGGAAATAAAATTTTATCTGAGCCTTCGTACGCGCCACATATAGCTGTACAGTTTTATACATGCGGATAAAAAAGCATCGCGTGCGTAAATACAGTCGGACTCGTGTGTGCGTGCGATATAGGCGATACGTTTTTCGCTCCATAGCATCCGAGACTCGAGCTGCTTGCTTATGTATATAATATACAATATATTGGCCGGAGTCGTGTTGCTGGCGTTGTCGCTAATATATGCCATGCATTATTTGTGGGTATGTGTGTGTGTGTGTGTGTGTGTGTGTGTGTGTGTGTGTATAGAGAGCGTTGGGATCGTTGGACACACACTACTCGCATCTGTATAATGTCAATCCGCCTCGACAGTTCTTTGGTCAAGTTTGCCCGTGAAAGAAGCTTCCTTGTGCATTGGCTCGGCCCGGAGAGGAGCGTGCAGAGCTCGTTCGACGATCGTCCGACTTTTCTCTCTCCGGCATCAAACATACACATTCGATGCTACTTCCTCGACTCCTTTCCGATAAAATTTTCCTATGCGTAATAGAGAATTACACCGGTATACGGATCGTGAAAAAAAGGGTCATCAATCTCAATTGATAAAAATGACTTTACTCGAAATGATGTCTGTCTCGTTTTGTACGTCGAGCGCGTAGCCGAGCCACCGCGGGCCCTCAACGTGCAACTACAGCTCGGATCGTCCTGTTTCCCGGCTCGCGCTCATTGAATAATTTGCCCGCAAGCTCGAGCACATGCTGGCTCTCTTTCTCTCTTACCACTTCCTAAATAAATTCCTCAATTAGCTGCATTGAGAATGTATACATGTGTACAATACGTCCACGAACATTATACAGGCCAATTCAGCGAAAATTATCTCTCTCTCTCTCTCTCTTGCATTGGCAACGGACGGTCAGACCGAGCTGCGAGTGAATATACATACGTGCGACTCATTTTCTCTCTTTTCTTTACTGCCTCACACGCGCTATGCTGCTACTCGTTCGGCACGAGGATATACACATTCGTAAATACATGCGTGTGACGTCATCCCGCATAAGGGAGACCTCAATCGTTTCATGCGAACTCGACACATGCTCTCGCGAGCACAGAACGCTCCTTGGTTTACCACTGCCTCTGCTGCTGCTGCTGCTGCTGCCACTGCTGCATCAGCCGGGCATCTAATAATATTTTTATTTTCTCTCTCTTTCTCGGTCGCTGAAGCTTCGATTCGAAAATTTGATGCAACTGCGATATAAATTATAAACAATTCTTCGCACTTTGGCAGCAATTTTTCAATTACTCGAGTTGCAAAGTGTAAAAAATTTTCCTCGGAACTGAGACCGTGCTCCGGGGATCAAAACTTCTTTGACTCTTTCGTATTATGTGTAAAATATAGAGATCGTTTACGATTGGTGTTATAGGCGCTACGCCATTATGCAAATCTGAAAAGGTCCGCGCCCGAGGCGTACAGCACGAGCGAGATCGACTTTCCCATATATCGTGTGATGCGTGTGATTCACAAAAACAGACGCGCCATTCATGCTAACGTGCGACACTACAAAGAAAGAGAGAAAGAAAGAGAGAATCTCATCGGGCGCGACGTGATGTTTTCGACGTCCAAATTCTATCTCGCTTGGCCTTTGACTTTTCATCTTTTGTTCCGGGATGTTCGTGCGTATTATATTATGTAGCATATATTAGATACCGATCTCGCTTAGCTTTTTTTTCTCACGATCGTTTCGACAAAAAAGGAGCTGTTGTTTGTCAATTTATACATGCAAGCTAATCATAATCGATACGAAAAAAGTTTCCGAATTTGATGAATTAACATTCGTGTTTTAGGACCGATGAGGACGAAAGCTCCGATCTGCAAGCTGCGCCGCAGCAACTCATAGGAGCAAATTCTCGAGCGGAACAATTGGATCATCGATTTTCACAGTTTTCGTTGGAAAAAAAGAAACATCTTGGATCGTGTAAAGCGAAAAGAAGCGAACCAACGGCTTAATCGAGCAGATGAAAATGAACTTTCAGACGAGCGTAGGACGAAGATAAAAAAATGCCGCTTGGCTCCCGATGAGGCATACATGCCAGACGCGCAATTACCTGCTACTTAATGCTCCCCCTCGACGCAGCATGCACGCGTATATGTGTGCGTGCGTGTGCATGTGCTCCGGACTAGATGTGCGCGCAATTATTCAATGTTTCGTGTCCGGCTTGTGTAGGAGGATTTCCTACTCGACGCGCTCGACTCTCGACTCTCGTGCTCCTCGTCTCTTTTCAATCTCCCCCGGTATCCGCGTGCTTATGCTGTACAGATAATTCCACAGCTGCCAGCGATGACACGCTTTTTCACGAGTGCGACGCGCGATAAGCTCCTCTTCTTCGGGTCTCGTTCCTTATTATTAGTACCTACCTTTTTTCTCGCTCGATGCATTGATTCGATCTTCCCAAGACTCGATCTCGCTCCTCTTTGTAAAAACGCTTGATAGCTAATTTATTTTTTTAACTTACAGTTCATCCAACGAACAGACCGTAGATTCGCCAGAAGGAGTTTCTTGCGCATCCCGAAACAAGCGGAGACGATAGCGACGATCACAATCCTGTCCTGTTCCTAAGTACTAGTGCCGCAGGAGTGATTATAAGTTTGATTACGAAATGTTCAGCTTCTCCTGCTGCTCGAGTGCTTATCAATGGGCCGGATCGCACGACGATTTCATCGACATTTTGCATCTTCAGATTCTTCAATGTTCCATACTATGTTGAATACTTGATTCTTCTTCTCGTTTACATAATGTATTTCATGTAAAAAAATAATAGTAAATAATAAATGAATTATTCGATAACACGTTCGCACGATGAAAAGTAAATGATGAAATTAACTAAAAGTAGTAAAAATAGTCAACAATGTGATTTTTGTGAGCGTTTTTATACTGATTGTCAATTAAATACTTTACTCTCGATGACTACTAAGCTAAGCTGAGATTAAGATTTATTTAGCTTCTCCTGACTATATGCATAAGTAACTTGCTGTTGGTATGCGTAATGATGTTGTAAAAAAAAAATTAAAAAATGCATCATTTTAAATTTCATGATTCTCTGGCTTAATAAAAACTCCTGTCCCTCTCTTTCCTCGACATAATTTTTCACTTGACGATAATGATTGCCATTGTAGGGCTTAATAAACTATATCAAGCTCAATTTTTCAATTTTAAAATCTAACTCCCTTACATATGGTTAGTCATGTAAGATAACGAGACTGAATCAGTGTCCTGAAAGTGATTTTATTTAAATTACATTACTGAATAGCTTGTTTCGCGTAATTTGCTATTACTTAACGAAACAAAAAGTATATGACCAAATTAAGAAAGATACTCGCTAGTTTTGGATCGGATTCTGTGTAAGCTGCCCGCATGTTTCTGCCTTTAATGAGATGTCAATAATCAAGAGAAACATGATTGTTCATTGAATGACATCGACGAGACGCAGTCAAATAAAGCCAAAAAATCCATCACGATTACGATCGTCTCGCGGTACTGTCGAGTCTGTTCGGTGCAGTGCTAGTAAAATTTTACTTTAACCGACCCGTCGCAAGAGTCGAGAAAAATCGGTAAACGAGCGGCACGATTTTCTCGAGTGGCCGAGATGCGATGGATTGTTCACGCTCAAGTAGCAATACACCAGGATCGTGCACTATCGCTTCGAGACGCCCAAGTATGACCCAAGTTACAGAGACAGGAGCTGTTCGAAAAAGCACGTCGAGGTGGTGCGCAATAACCTATGCTCGACATGTAACAAGAAGTTCGGCTTCAAAAAAAAACTAAAGAAAAATGTGGCCAAAATACAAAGAGGATTTTGGTTGGAACTCAAGCTTATCATGTAACATAGTATCATAGAAATAGACGTTTACCAGCTCGTTTTGACCAAATATCGGAAATTTTTCTATACATGCATGGATCAAAATTATTCGTGTTCTTCGTTAAACTGTTGATTGGTTCTGTTACAAAAATAAGACCGAATATCGATTATATATCTTATTTCTGTCTTTTGATTTGCGCAAAACAAAAAGAATTTGGAGGAGCTGGGATTTGAACCCAGGACTTTCAGCATGCGAAGCAGACACTCTACCACTGAGTTACACCCCCGGATAGTATATTTGCGAACAGACAACTACAAATTTTGCGCTTGGACGATAGCGACATCCTCAGGAAACGGCCGTAATCTGAACTACACTGAAAGAGTCAGATTCTCACAGTAGTTCACATACGTCCGTTATGTATTTATAGCGCTAACATCCAATATCACGACTTCTATTATGAATCCAATGTTTAGCATCGAGCAGACAACGCAACTAACACTTCAAGTTTGTTGACATCGGTGAAAGCCGAATAGAGATTCGCGAATATAACCTACCAAGTGCTCCTTGCATCTTTTTCCTTTGAAAAGTTTTTGTTAACAATTAAAAAATGTCGAAAGATAGTTCAGACGAAGGAAAAGAAGAAAGGCCATTAGTTGTCAAAACGGCAGCTGATTTGCAAAGACTGAAACTCATGAAACTTATGAAAAACCCGGTAAGTACATACACAACAACCTTATGAAATTGATTTACTCAATTCTATCACCATTGATCATCATCATTCATTTTTCAATTCTTGTTTTAGGACAAGCCAGTTATTATACCCGAACGTCCAAAAGGAAAGAATATCCCAACAGCACCGGAGTTCGTACGAAATGTTATGGGTAGTAGTGCAGGTGCAGGTAGTGGTGAATTTCATGTCTACAGACATTTAAGGCGGAAAGAGTACGCTAGACAAAAATGTATTCAAGATCAAGCATACAGAGTAAGTTTTATTCTTTTGCAAGTTTTTAATTGTTTTTCAAATTGAGTTGAATTAAAATTGGTTACAAAAAATGCAGGAATCTCTCGAAAATGAGTATCATCAAAAATTGGAAGAAAATAAAAGAAAAGCAGAAGAAGCTACTGCAAAAAAACGAGCCAAAAGATTAAAACGTAAACAAAAGCTCAAGGGAAAAAAGAAATTCAAACCTTCTAAGGATACAAGTCAAAAATCTGGAAATGATAGTGAGTCAGATAATGAAAGTTCTGAGGAAGAAAGTGAAGATAAAGTTTTAGAAAAAAAGAACAACACGACAAATAGTAACAACAATTCAGACGACGACAAATTAAATAAAAATATGGATGCAAAAGAGGACCAAGTAAGTGCTGAAAAAGAAATTGTTAATAGTGAAGTGGTTGCAGAAATTGAAGAAAATGCAACAAATATCAACAAAAACCTTGATAGCAATACTTTGGATGAAAAGATGGATACAAAAGAAGATCAAGTGAATGCAGATAAAGAAATTATTGATAATGAAAAAGTCCAAGGAAATGAAGAAAATACTGCTAGTGAAAACAATTCTGACAGTGATAAATTAAATGAAAACATAAATGCAAAAGAGAAAGGAGTAAATGTTGAAAAAGAAATTGTTGATAGTAAAGTAGTCCAAGAAAATGAAGAAAATACAACAATTATTTACAAAAATCGTAATAGTAATAATTGTGATGACAAGATGGATACAAAAGAATGTCAAGTAAATGCTGCTAAAGAAATTGTTCATAATGAAGCCACTGAAACCACAAAGCAAAATGAAAGTAGCATTTAAATCTGATAAAAATAATAAAAACTGTAAATACCGCATTAATAAGTACAGAAGAGATGAAAAATCAAACTTTTATAATAAACTAGAGTTGGTCAGTAGTACTTAAAATGAATGAGAATGCGAATAAGTAAAAATTATATTAAGGAGATATGTAATATTCAAAGTATAAATATATATTTATTTAACAATTTTAAGCTTTGATAATTTATGTAAAAAAATTTCCTTTTTCCATCAATTAAGATTGATATAATAAATTACTTCGTAATAATTACAACTTATTTTTATACATAATGCAATTTTTAGTTAGGAGTTGATGAAGCATCCACAGCAACAAATCTTTCATTTTTTTCAAAAAATCCTAGCAATTTTACAACTATATGTTGGTCACTAGATTTTGTACATTGCTGCTTTAACCCAGTAAGATAAGTTTTAGCCTTCATCAAAACAACAGCTTTTTCTGGTAATACATTATCCTAAAAAAGTAGTCTTTTTTTGAAACAGTTACACAGAATAGTAATATTTAAATATTTATTTGCTTACATGAAAATTTTGCATATATTGTAGAGCATCATCATAATGATTTTCTATTTCAAACCATAAAGACTCCAAATCACTAACATCAATGAAACAAGCCAAATGACATAGCAATAAGCAGAACTAAAAAAAAGTATAACTTTGTATGTGATTATTTGTTAAAATTTATAAGTTTTATAAAATTTATACAGACCTGAACAACTAGTCCATCTTGGTGAACATATTCTGTGTAATGTGGTACATGTTTTGAATTTTCAAAACCTAGCATAACACTTTTCCAAATATTTACCAAGTATTTTCCAAATGATTTACTTGATGTTAGAGCTACTGCAGCATTAATTCGAATTTTAAAGTTCCGAGTGTTGTACAATAAATCACATAAAATAGGAAAAACTTGTTCCTATAAATGGAATTAATTAAAAAATATTTGTTCAAATTCAATTTTGATAAATTTCATATAAATTTTCTCAACTTACTTCCCACAAAGGTGGTAATACTTCATTTGGTTCTCCATTTAGAGCATTTCCAAGCGCTCTACATGCATTCCACCTCACCTAAAATTTTTCAAAAAACATGAGTATTTTTTAATCAATTTTAAAAGTTTCAAAAGCCTTAAAATGACTTACTTTACTATCCGTTGAATTTTTAATGCAATCTAATAATGCTTCAAGTCCAGAAGCAGTATCAGATATTACTTCTTTATTTTTGCACAAATACAAAATACTACCAATTATTCGTACAGCATTAGAACTCACTTTATCACCGTCCTTGCATGCTTTCAAACTTACAATATAAGCTTGAGGTAAAGCTATTTTCAATGAAATGGGTTCTACTTCTGGATTTTTTCTAGAATTATAAGTTACAAATTATTCATCAGTTTATTATTTGTTTAAAGGAGCAATAAACAAGAAGCCAATAAACTCACTCCCTTCTAATTAGACAATCAAAAACTGCTGCTAAAGTCCAAATAGCTTTGAATCGAACAGGTTGACAACGATCGTCATAGGCAGCACAAGTAATTTCAATCACATCCATTAAAAAATTAGTATCTTCTTCTAAATTTGGCGTATCTACCAAAGCTCCTAAAGCTCGAATACTTTCAGCTTTTACATTAGATGATTCATCTCTAGTTGCTCCCAGAAGTCCAGAGATTACTTTTATTGTTTTGTTGCGCTAAGTTTGAGAAAATCCAAAAAATGTATAAAATATTTATTTTTTATTTTTTGATCATTTTTATAAACTATTATACTTACACACTCCAATATTTCCTTTGTTAAATTTCCTAAGCAGTCACAAGCAATCTCTCTAATGGAAGAATTATAATGTTGCAACAATGATAAAATATCATCAAATGCTATATTCCAAAATTTAGAGGCTAAATCAGGTTTGGATTTGTATAAATATCTTGAAATATTTTCTACAACACGACAAGCATGAGTAGCTACAATACATTCAGTCTCTGTGCTACTTATTTTAATCAATTTTGGAACAATTCGATCTAAAAATGGAATTATCAAGCTGCTCACATTGAAAGCCAAATTCCCTAGTAATTTCAAAGATTGAACTTTTATTTGTTCATTGGCCTAAAAAAAATTTTTTTATTTCAACTGAAATTTAAGTGAAATTTCTAAGTGAACTTACCGCAAGACTCAAGTTAAATAAACAATATTCAACCAAAGCACTAATCTTTACTTGTGGTGCAACATTTTCTTCATTGACAGTTAAATCAACATTATTTATGTCAATTTCATCAACAATTTCTTCAAATCCATCATCAAACATGTCAACAAAGTCAGAGTCTTCTTGTTCACACTCAGAATTAGAATTCTTTTCCAACCTGTTTTCATCAGTCTTTTCTAATTCAAAAAAATGTTCTTCTGCTTCATTCTCTTTAGGAGTATCTACTACCGATTTCACGCGATTTTTAACAGGTTTTGATAGAATAGTCATTACTTCTGAGCTTATGAAATTAGATAATGTCAATGCCTCAAAAACTGCTAGTGCTGCAACTTTTACACAGACATCTTTATGAAATAAAAATGCTTGACAATGTCTAACTAATTTTGTAACTAAACCAGTTTTAAGTTTAGTATAAGGTGTTGCTTTAGCTAAAACAGCTGTACACTTCAATGTTTGTATAAGTACTGTATTACTTTTTTCACTACTTAATAATAATGATAATGTATTATGTAATTCTTCAACAACAGAACCAAGCATTCCAAAAATTGTTATAAAAGACAACTGTTCTACAGTTTCAGCATGTATGAGAAATATTCTACCGCCAATCAATATATTATAGAAAACAAAAAGAGCTACTTGTCTATTCTTTTCTCTTGTCTCCAAAAGAATATATTTGGCCAAAGTTCTTTTATTAGTGGTTGAATTACTGACAACTAGCTGTGGCCAATAATTGAAAAAATCTCTGTGTGATGTGGTATCAACTATCATCCACAGTAACTGTATAATTTCATAACGTACTTGCGGTTTAAGCATAGCTGCACTCTTAGTTTCAGTATCAGATGTTTCAGACTCACTAGAAGGCATAAGATTAACACTGTTATCTATAAAACCTGTTTCTTTGTCTTCAAGCTTGGTAGTTGAGCGTTTACATTTACGAAAACCTTTTTTACCAAAATATCCCTTTGTTTCAATTTTATATGGTACTTCTGGAATATCCAGAATAGATGGCTGTACAATTTGTGACTTTACATATGAATATCCAGTAATACCATAAAAAAGATATGCTTGTACAACACCCAAAATTTTTCCTATCATATCCGTACGATCAAATTCATTTTTTTCATTCAGAAGAAATTGTAACATTTTTATAGATGTAAGTACAATCTGAAAAAGAGTTTCTAGCTTTAGAAAAAATACAGTTTATTAAGTTTAAAAAAATTACCTTATTGAAATTAACATCATCAGTTTTTTTATATTGGATTTCATTCAAGCTATTGAAAACGATGTTACATATTTTTTCTAAATATTCTGATTTTATTTTACTTTTAGATTTTTCATTTTTTTGTAAAACAATTTTCAAGCAACCTAGAGCCAGAAAATATGTACTAGTGGCATTTTTATTCCTTGGATATACATTTTTTATGATGAAAGAGTTGTCTTGTAACATATAATCCAAATCCTGCAATGCATAAATCACATTTACAATGAAATTAAATTCAATATTATCTTTGGCATCTTAACAACAGGTACCTGTAATATTGTATCAAATGAAGTTATTTGCAATAAACTTTGGAAGGCTAAAAATAACTCTAGTGATTTAGATTGTGTGTGTCGAAAGCCTTTCGTTATCCATTGTTTACAAGTGAAATAAGTACAATCTGCCATTATGAAGTTGCACTTGACCAAGTTTTCTAAAAATCGAAAAAACTCTCGAACCAAAGGATCATCGCGTGGGTGTATCGACGAGCTGAGTTTATTTAACAATGAAGTAACAATCTGAAAAGAGAAAAAAAAGAATTACATTCGGTTTTGGATACTTCAGATACTGTTCACTTACCGTTTCGTCTTCCACGACCATATACACGTAATTCAATTGATTAAGGCTTTGTAAATTAAGGTACAACAATCGTTTATCGCAAGGGTGATTTTTGGTAATGCAAAGAATATCGTTAACCAGACGTACGAACGTGTCTTCCGCGGTAATACTCTTAACTACGGTATCCATTTCCATTTTTAAATAAATGAAAAGTAGAGTATAATTTTCAATTAACACAGTACAACAACTAAAACCGATTACTAGATACAATTTCACTGCTCCGGTGCACGTTTACATTATCATAACAAATAATCGATCATAACCTCGCAAGCTAATACAACGTGCGACCTTGAAAGGAAAATAGCCGAGCTTATCCCCATAAAAGGCGACGATAGCTTGCGAAACAATAATGTATGAAATCTCGTAGGCACTCGAGTTATGAGATGAAGTAACAAACTTTATTGGAAATGAAAATTTTCAAATTAAGCAAAGTTTTTATTTACAATCTAAGTGCTATGTACAGTTTATTATTAACTTTGACCAAATGCACGCAAATCTTTTCCGTGAAGCTATATTTTTCCTTCGTCGGGATTCCGACCTTCTTTTCTTAGCTGCTTAGTGAGCTCCGACTGCTGCTCCAGTATGTAAATATTTTCAATCTTCCTTCTTCGCTGTCGCTCGAGATCTTTTATGACCCCCAGATGAAGGTTTTCTCTGAAAAAAAAAATCACATTGAAACGGTATTATTCTGATTTATATTGATTGCCATTAAAAAAGAAAGGATTATCATTCACCGGTCGGATTCTTGCTTGTAATGTACATAAATAATTATTCCACCAGAGATGCCAGTGCACAAGGCGAGAAAAGTTTTTGAAGTCATCGACATGTTGAATGGAGTATTTGCAATTTTACATTTACAATTGCGAGATGTGTTTTTTAGATTGACAGCTTTTATTCTGTTGCAGTGTCGACAGTTGCAACGAATGTGCCATGCTTTTTTGTCGGCGTCTTCTGCTAGCTTGTCAGCGCGCGCAGGTGTCGCAATTCAAAAATCGAAACATGCATAAATATTCGAGGGAGTTTTATGAAATTACAATTTCAATTTTTCGTCAAGCTTTTCTATTTAACAAAAAAGCCACGCAATTTAACCAAGGTGCAATCCATTCTTTTCAATTGTCGTTTAAAACAATCGCGTTGATTCCTCGAAATTGCTACAATCGTTTTTCAAGGATGAAGCGCTAGCGGTGTTGGGAAACGTCCAGCGACATAAACATAGCAAATGAAATTTCGAGAAAGGACGCCGCACAGTTAGATCGCGAAAATTGCGAAAACGAGCCTTCTTGTACTGCCTAGGCTCAATAACATGCTTAGTATATTGAAATAAGAATATATTTATGTATAATTTCGCGAATTGAAATAAAATAATTTACGAACTAATTGAGTGAAAAATTTTATCATTGACCGATAAAAAAGCTCACAGCTGGCAAGGATAGGCGATAAAACGAGGCGCTATCATTCCAACGGCTGTGCGCCAAAGAGGATGAAAATTCATGGCAAAAATCGATCGTTTAATATAGGCGTGTGTCAGTTCGACACAGGAATCGAGGCGTTTAGTTCCGCTGCGAGCAGACTAGTGTCGCTGATATGTGAGAAACTCGACTTGACTTGTATGTATATATAGGCATCATCTACACACGCGAGAAGACCAACAACAACAACAATAACAACTCCGCCCTCCTCTGCTACTGCTGCTGCTGGGCGGCGCGCGTATCAATCTAGGCTAGCGCGCGCCTCCGCTGCTGTGTGCACTAGCAGTAGGCCAGGGCATCGCTCGCTAGCGTTCCGGTGGCAGTTCATTCGCGGCCAGTCGACGGGTCAACCCGGTCAACCGCTTTGCGCTTTCTACTTATATAAATATATACACACACGCACACAGACACAAACACACAAACACACCTACCCGAGTCTCTCGTATGCACGCTATCATCTATCTCTCTCACTCGGCTCTTTCTCTTCTGTCTTTTCACCGAGGTTCTCTTTTTCCTCTTCTCCTCCTCCTCCTCCTCCCCCACCGCCCCCCTTCCCATGTGCATCAGCAGCAGCAGTAGCAACAGCAGCAGCAGCAGCAGCAGTAGCAGCGCAGTGCTCGCGACAGTGCATACATTATAATCGTATAGTGCGATTCACGATGTATACTGTGCTCGCCGTCTCGTCGCTCGTTTTCGCTCGTGCGTGCGCGTAGCGACAAAAGCAAAATAAAAAAAGAACGAAAAGAAAAAAAACATAGAAAAGACAAGAGGTGTCGAGGCCGTGCGACAGCCGAATGAGTCCTCGCGATTGTTATTGTCGCAGGAAATACGTCAAGCGCTCCGAAAGAGCAGCGACACGAGAGTCACGTCGTCGAGCATGGGAAATCGAGAGGAGGAGCAACAGCAGCAGCAACAGCAGCAGTGATCGCAGTGCAAGATTATTTTGCCACGGTCTTACGGTCGTCGGCCGTCCTCCGCGATTCCAACGTACCTGTATAACCTCTGAAATCACGGAGAGCGCAGTGTAATCGACACCGCAATTATTGGTGATGATAAACCGAGTCGAGAAATAGCGCGATAGCAGCAACATGCCTTGCTTTACGGACGGCAAGCAGCAGCAGCGACTACAACAACAACAACATAAGTACCAGCAGCAGAAGCAGAGGCGTCTGCTTGGCTCCGAGCCCGTCGTCTACCTTTCGAACGCCAAGTAGACGAGGCTCTTTCGCGTTTCTCTGTATAGGCGCATGCGACGTCTAAGGCGACGTCTGCGAACGCAAACAGCGCACGAAACAAATATATACCCGAACTACGTTTACAGCGGGAACGAGTCGGTTTGCCGTGTTCCTGGAGCCTCTATTAGCGCTTATTTTCGTACTATAATAAAACTCGCGTAATTGCGATATATTGTGCGTAAGGTGATACACGATACAACCCGGATATTACGAAAGGTAAACACGGGATGGACGCGTGTTCTGTGGCTTACGCGAAATAGGCGCCTAGTGCAGTGCACAACAACAACGACGACGACGACGACGACAACAATATTTATAAGGAAAATTGCGTGAATACTGTGGTGTTAGAGTGTCAACTTGTGCGTGTTTGTGTGTGTGCGTGTCGTGGTCGTTCGATGATCTCTTGAGTGTTGTGACTCGGACAGCTCGAAGACTGTCATTTACTCATCGTCGGATCTGCCTAAAGTGCGTACCGTGTGTCTCTCTGTCTCCGTGATAAACACACACGCACATACGGCATACGGGTCCGGTCGGCCGTTCTCGCGTTTTTCGTGCGCGCGAGGGCGTACATACGTACGACGACACAATAAAAACACAGTATAATAACAATATAAAAAAGGAAGCTATCGGCCAAAGTCAGCAGAATGGCGGACCTCGAGGCCGTGCTGGCCGACGTGAGCTATCTCATGGCGATGGAGAAGAGCAAGTGCACGCCGGCAGCCAGGGCGAGCAAGAAGATCGTCCTGCCGGATCCAAGGTTCGTCTCCATTTTTATTAACGTCATTATTTTAAATCTCTCTCTCTCTCTCTCTCTCTCCCTCTGTGGTGTACCGCTGCCACATTGGCAGAGCGAGACCGATTATATTACACGAGCTTTTTCGCTCTGGAGCTTTTTTTTCTCTTCACCTTAACCCCCCTCGTTGTACGTATAAAGTGGAGTCGGTATAACATATAGCTATAGACCCAGTGTACATGAAATGCGCTCGAGAAAACTCCCGACTCGCTATTGTAGAGATCTTTACAGGTCGAGCACGAAAGCTTCGCCTTCCTCTCTTTCTCTCTCAGCTGCTCGCGTAGTCGCGCGACTCGTTCATTCATATATAATATATATCATTACACTTAAGTACATGCATCGTGCGTGGCCCAAAGCGCGGCTATTTTCGACCGATGATGATGATTCTCTCTATATATACTCGCGGGCCGCTCTGTGTTACGATACATATTCACGATCGCGCGCGAATACACACACACGCGCACACACACACACACACACACACGTACGGCAGCGCGAAACGCGCCAGATTGTTTACATAAATGCTTGCATATAGCTCGCCAAAGTACCTGCGTATGTGTGAGTCGAGTAAAAGAGAATTATACATCGAGACTCTTTCCTCTCTCGCGTGGATTTATTCGACCTTGCCTGCATAGCGAGTAAAGTTAAAAGCCAGCCAGCATCGGGCCCGGCTTTTGAACTGCACCTATATCTGTATATATACCCGAAAGAGAGAAAAAAAATACATGCCTCATTATTCAAAGATCGACTCGACCCTGACATTTTTTTCTATTTCATGTACCTTTCTATCTATATAATAAGTCGCGCGGTGTGCATGCGTCGTCGTCGTCGTCGTCGTCGTTGGTTGCGTGTGTGCTGCTGAGACGACGTGCTATTTCGGTAGCGCGCGCGCGACTCCATCAGGACGTTGGCACTCGAAGAATCTCGATCGAATCTCGAGAGCAACGTATATATCAATGTCAAAGCGCGAGCTCGATGTTTATTTTTCTCTCTATCTCTCTCCATGAGAAAAGAAAGACCTATACACCTATACGTACGTAACTATCTACCTCTACATTGGCACTTTATTTTCTTTCGATTCCTCTTGATTTTCATCGGAAATTCGATAGGTGAATCGGTTTTAAAGCGACTATATCTTGCTGGCACTGTATGCACCTCTGTAATGCGGTTACAACTGCAGCTTACACAAACACGCAGCTCGGCAAGCTCTCGGAGTATAGTCGCTCGCTCCATTGTTTCTCCGCGTGCAGCCAGAGACTATTTCAAATGGTAATCAGGCTGCAGCATAACGGAGCACGGGGGCCGCAAGCGGATTGATTAGTTTATTAGCAAATCGCTTGATCGGATCGGATAGTCAAATAAACAGTGCGTATATTATTTAGGCAAGTCGGTGCCTGGCTCGAGTCAATGACTCGGCTGCATCTTGCATGCGCGCGTGCGTATATACGTGGCTGTGCGCGGCCGAACGGGAAAAAAGGGGGATACGTTCTCGCAAGCTCGAGGCTCGCTTTTGTTCGTCATCCAGAGGCAGGCGATCGGGCACGTTCCGCACGCGCCATACAATTAAAACTAATGTTTCTTTCAAAGCAGCTCGCACTTCCCAAAATTGACTCGCTACATCATATATATACGTACGCGTATAAATACATCACTACGTTTTGTTCGACGTAATAATAATCATTAGACTAACCGATCGCTCGACTCGACTCAACCGTTCGCCCAAGCCATACTTCAAAGCTGCTTATTTTCGCGCGCGTTTATCGGATAAACTTTGCCGAGGCTAAAAGTAAAAGTTTAGTGATCATTCGTTAGAGAAAGAGAGAGAGAGAGAGAGAGAGAGGAGAGGAGAGTAAATACGTGCTGCTATGGGTGTGTAGAGCGAAATATTTTGGGCAATAGGCAGTTTCTCGCTCGTCAAACTTTGCCCCCGAGCTAAACTGCTTAAATATAGATAATCAATCCAACGAGTTATCATCTTTTTTTTCTCGCCCTCCAAGATCTATTGATTATTCGCTCGATCCACGTTTGACGATGCACACATTGGCTCTACGCTAGTTTTGTAGGTCGCTTGTATACATGATGTTTTTAAAGTCCATTACAAGCTTTATAGAGATGACCTTTCTCTGCAATATTAGCTTTCGAATGAAAAAAAAAACCCATTACACGTGTTGTTTTAAGAGCTTTGAGAAATTAACCGAGCTACGAATTGATTTAATAATAGTCAATTACAATTTACTCGTTGTTGTTTATTTTTACTTCAGCTCGAATCTCTAGTACTTCACTTTGATGAAATTAGATTGCCTAACGAAGTTATAATTTCGACGTTAAAAGCAAGAGCGCGTGGGTAGGGAAAACGGCCGATTCGAATATTCTTTGGACGCGAGCGTGTGCCTGAGTTTACAGAAACTTTTTAACGCGTGCGGCAAGCAAAGCTCTCTTTGTTTTCAGTCCAGCGGCTCTTGAACTGCTTTTGTGAAAAATTGCAAGCTCCGAGAGCGGAGAAAAAAAAAGTTACCACCCCTCGCGTACGAGTGACACAAGACTCGCGCTGTAAAAGCTCGTGCGTGCACGTGTAACTTGGACGTAGCACACATAAAACGCTGCGTAGAAAGTTCCTATTAAAGCACGTCACTCGCAAGGCTGGCTTGGCTACCGCGCGAGCATATAGAAGCGCATATACATTGTTGCAGTATGTATATACATATATGAGTAGAGAAAGTAAATCGAGCAGATAGAGTTCCGAAAAAAACTTAGTCGCGTGTTTACAAACACACGCGGTAGTCGCGCACTTGCACTGGCTGCTACTGGACTAGTGCGCGCGCAAGCTCCTCGTTTGTACCTCCTTCTCTCTCTCTCTCTTTCTCTCTCGAGAAAGCCGCCGAGCAATGCACACAGGCACAAGTATAGCACGAGGCACACGCGTAGAGGAGGGCCATACACAGTGTGCAGCTGCAACGCCGTTTTCTGCCCTCGATTTATAAACAGCTAGAAAGCAGTAGCAGCAGCAGCTAGTAACGCGAGCATCCGAGAGTATACATGAGCACATGTTATATGCGCAGTTAAAAGAGAAAGAGAGTGAGGCGACCACGCGCGAGGCTGTGCTTGCAAGTCAAACAGCCGCGCACTAATGTTGCTAAAAGCTTCGACGTTCTCTGACTCTCGACTGATTTGCTCCGCAGATGTATCGAGGCCTATGTGTCTATGCTCAGAATTTCCCTCTGTAGCGCCTACATATATCTCTCTTCTCTTTCTCTTTGTGTCTCGAGCTCGATGTACGCTCTCTGTGCATGTACGCTCGTGTTTTCGCTTGGCTTTCGGTATGTTTCTCTTGCCCTCCCTCGCCCCGACGCGCGCACGACGCAAATACGCCGAATCGATATACATTATTATGTAAAGGACATAAGGCTTGTTAAAGTCTAATGAGCTTTTCATTCGCGTCCTCTATTTGATCGACCTCGTTCGCACAATAATCTACTTAATTGATCTAAAAAGTTTTCGTAAACAAAACACGATAGATTCTCCCGCTCCTCGGCTATGTTTACAAGTGTATTGTGTTTGCACGCGTTCAAGCTGTCGGGAGCTATATACGCTCGCTTCGAAAACATTCGAACAATACACGCGAACGGAGATCATCGAGGAATAATTGCGCTTAACGATTAAAATCGAGTTAAGCGTACGCGCGCGTCCGAAAAAATGTGCCAAACGGATGGCGGGCGTCGTACACTCGTTGCGCGCAAAAGCTCGCCGCTGGCCTTTAATGAAATAGCTGAAGCGCGCCCATACACATGTGTGTTCGACGCGTGATGCACATTTAATTAAAAACGTCGCGCGCGCACGTCGAGGAACAAGAACGCATATATCATCGTACTAATTACTTAGCGCAGCTTATAGACACGGTGGCAGTACGCGTTTTAACCTACGAGCTCGGGTAGCGCGCGTGGGATCATCAAAGAGCTTTTCGCACTTTGTCAAATATTTCTATGTAAGAATCCATTCAAATTATTCCTCTTACCTTAGCGCGAAATTAATCTCGCTCTTCCTTCTTTTCCGTTTATATTCCCGCAGCATTGATGGGCGGAGAACAAAGAAAAAGCTTCCACCGGCTGACAGCTAAAAAGTACAAAGTCCGATTTGTTCGAAAATCTTATCGCTCTTACTTTACCTAACTTTCTCTCTCCCCCTCTCATCCCTTATCTGTGCATTTTCAATTATTTCGTGGGAGAAACTCGATAAAGCTCATCGATGTATCAGTGCTCTGCGCGTTTCTCTCTCTTTTTCTCTGTTGCCTCTCTTTGTTGCGTGTAGGTGTATCCGACACAAAAAGAGATTTTGACCAGTTCCGCGCGACTACGAGTGACCTAGATTTATCATCGAGGCTCGTTTTGTGTCGCCGTGTGTGTTTCTGTCGGATGCGCAAATTCCTGCTCGCGATCATATTTCTTATCTTTACTGCAGCGCGTACGTACAACAAAATCGAATATACATATTCGAGCCTGAGTTATTATCGCCGATGCATTGCGCGTGGCTGCGTTTATATATTTTCTGCCGCGCAGCTGCTCTGCTATATAACGGATGAAACTTTCCATTGTCCACGTGCTGCGTCAGTAGCAGAGACAAGAGCTCTCCGATGATGCAATGAAAGCCTATTTGTCCTTTTCCTACCTATACACTTTGGCGAGCCTTATCTTAACGAATTGATCCAAAATAGCAGCACTTGCTTACGCGCAGCTGTTCGTGTGTATATGTTTGCCCCGACCCGAGCTTGCAGCGACGCATTAACCAAGGCACAATAAAACAGGCTAGCTCATTGCTTATTCATCGCATTGGAGCGCCGTGAACTATACTCGCGCGACGAAAATCTCGCGCTATTGAAAAATGCACGACGATCCCTCTGTGTTATCGGCTCTCAACTGTCGAAAAGCTTCGATCTGAAAATCGAGGCGCAAAAGCATTTTAAAAATTTC